TGCCAAGAATGCTTGAAGGTATCTCTGATTTATATTAACTAGCACTTATTCAGACTAATTCTCAAATTGTTTCTTGTATATATTTTTCCTGCATTCCATGAGATGCAGGTGACAAAGTCCAAAGTGGAATAAAGTCACAAGAGCTTCATTAAAAATATATTTATAGCCGGTTTTGTTATTCCTAATATCTTCCCTGATCACAGAAATTATTAAACTTGGGTACATTTGTTAATCATTACAGTCACAGTTGATTTTGCCTGTCTTCCATTCTGTTTTTCCCAGATGAAATAATTGTGCAGAAGCCAGAGCTCACCAGTCCATCAATCTGCCATGCTCCTGGCGGGGAGTACTTTGTAGAAGGAGAAACATGGAATATTGATTCTTGCACACAATGTACATGCCACAGTGGACGTGTCCTGTGTGAGACTGAAGTCTGTCCTCCTCTTCTTTGTCAAAACCCCACCCGCACACAGGACTCCTGCTGTCCACAGTGCGCAGGTATGTATTGACAACCAGCCTTCACCAGAGTCCTTTCATGACGTGAATGTTGAATGTTCAGTATGTGCGCAGTTGGTGGTTTTGGGGCCTTTGTTCTCTAGCCGTTTGGAGTGAGAGCCTGCAGTCCTCCACTGCCACTGTAAAACTTGTCCATATGCAAAAGGTAGCTCATACGTAAGCGGAGTTGCAGCCCTGAAGTTTAAACATCGTCTTTGAAGGCAGTGTGATGATGTGGTGAAGCACTGGAACAGGTTGCCCAGAGAAGCTGTGGATGCCCCATCCCTGGAAGTGTTCAAGGCCAGGCTGGATGTGGCTTTGAGCAACCTGGTCTAGTGGAAGGTGTCCCTGCCCATGGCAGGGGGGTTGGAACTAGATGGTCTTTAAGGTCCCTTCCAACCCAAACCAGTCTGTGATTCTATGTAAGGGATGCATGAGAACCAGAACCCTTAATTGGCAGGTGTATAAAATATGCACCGTATCATTTACAGAAACATGCAGGATTAGAGAAACTTCAAAAGTAGTTGAAGTGCTAGACAGGCACAGGTTTGTTTCTTTTCCTTTATACATGCCCTGGTTTCTGTGAACCCTTCTATTCTTGTCTTGTTTATTTGGTATTTGGTCTCAAAAATACTTTTGTTTGCTTCTACATTCACCTGGTATGATTTGAGAGTGACTTGAAGCCAGCTGACTACTAATATCAAAGCATTCCAGCGCAGCAGGCATGCCAGATTCCTCTTAGAGAGCCTCACAGTGTCAGTAAGGTAACAGATTTGCTTTCCCCTGAGACGAGAGATACAAGTATAAGTGAACATGAATCATGTTTTACACAGCGAATGGGAGAGTTTATTGCAGTAGAAATATGTTCCAAAACTGAATTGTATGCAAACTCATTGAGAAAATATTTGTATTTATTGAAAACAAAATCTAAACATTTGAATTTAGGAAAAGGAAAAAAGTTAGGTTTTGCCATTTTTCTGCAGGGTATTTGTTGGGGTTTTGGGTGGTTTTTTTCTGACAAAAGATTTTCAGTGAAAAAGTTAGCCAGTTCTTCTAACTTCTATTTTTCTCTTATTAATAACAGTGAGCACTTGCTTTGCTTAACTTCAAAATACTGTTTGGAGGAGCTGATCTTTCCTCACTGGCTATATAAGAAGCTTAGTCTCATAACTTATGCAGTTAGATGGAGAACCTGATCTGAGTGCCCTTGTGACTCCTTCTCTGCACATACAGTCATATTTCTTGGTCCGTAACGTCTGTTAAGATACAGCTTCGTTGCAGAAATATGTCTGCCCCCCATGTGCAGGCATGAGAATTAAAGCAGACCCATTGGCGTCAAGGTGAAGTCCAATCAATTTCCATTTGTTTCTCAGCAGATTCTAATTAGCTCATATAAGTCCACTAACGAAGAAGGCAGCAGCGTAATAGCTTTTCGCTTTGCATCATTCAGAGATTTGAGCTGACATGGCAGAAGCTAAGATTCAAGTTTTAGATTTAAAATTTAATCTCTCTAAGGGGAATTCCTGTATACCATTCAGTTCAGAGCATTCAGAGTGGCTTTCCGAGGGTCTGCATCTAATGGTGGTTGGTTTTTGCTTAGTTGTCCTTTTGCTTTTTTCTTTTTCTTTGAGTAAACTCAAAGATCTGCATAAACCTTATTCTGCAGCACATCACCTGATCCTCATCACATGTAAGGACTGAATAGACATAAGGCTCTGCCCTAATTCTTCCAAATAAGTGAGCAAATGTGTTACAGTTCCATTGTGTTCTTCAAGTTAAATAATGTAATCTGTTTATATTTACAGATGAGCCTCTTCAGCCCTCTTCCTCAAGCAATGAGAGCATGCCCAGCTACTGCAAAAATGACGAAGGCGATATTTTTCTGACAGCGGAGTCCTGGAAGCCCAACGTCTGCACTAGCTGCATCTGCATGGATGGTGTGATTAGATGCTACTCCGAGACTTGCCCACCGGTATCCTGCGAGAGACCTGTTCTGAGAAAGGGACAGTGTTGTCCTTACTGTATTGGTGAGCAAATAAACACAGTTGATAACTTGCTTCTCCTTTCTTGGAAATAATAAGGAAGTTTTATTTCCACGCTGAAATATGTTTTCCCTGCTTTGGGGAGATGCAGTTGGGGTCTTCAGTTGAACTGGAGAGCGAAATCTGTGTAGGGAGTTGGAGCATCATGATTTGTGGTGTGAGGTAGAAGTGCAGGAAGATGTAAATGTGATTTGCCTTTAAAACTGAGAGGACATCCTCCTGAAAATTCTGTAGTAAACCTTACTAGATTGAAACATTACACAAAAATTGTTTTATTGAAAGGAAGATCTGCCAGGTAATACACATGTTATGTCAAGATATTTGATAATACAGGGAATATGTTACTTATGACTGCAGAAGATAAGCTGGAGCATATCGAAATTTCATAGAATGGAGAAGTGTTAAGAAAGCATTTCTATTAAAATACAGGAAAAAACAGTATGTTCATTAAAGATAGTTATGGATTTCTGTGGTGGAGGTAGCAAGCAAAGGGCTATAGGGATGACTCTTCATCTTCACAGGGATGGCGAGAAGCTTCGAGAGCAAAATAAGGTACTTGAGAAAACATTAGTTTCAGGGGGTTTTTTAAACACTAAAAATGCATAAAGAATTAAGAGTCATGTACTGGTTTTGCATTTGGAGTTGAAGTAAATGGTGGATGCTGTCGATAGTAAAAATTGCTGGGCATTTTTAAACTTGCAGAATTTGAGATTCCTGATCACTTTCTCATTGTGTTTTGAATAGGAGTATTTATTTACAGATGACTTCATACTTACTGTGAACTCCAAAAAAAAAAAAAAAAGGCTGTAGAATGGAAGCTGCTGGTAGAGAATAATTGTATAATGAACTGAAGTCTTTGTAGTACTGTTAAAAAGCATTTAGAGCTTACTATAACCTTCATTTCCAAAAGCAGTAGGGGGAGCTACAAGAGAAAAGAATTCAGTAAACAGTAATAATTGATAATAATTGTTATTTGAACATGTGAATCAAATTGCCTGTCTACAAACAATGCAGTTCTCATCAGAAAGATGTCAGAAAGGTTGTGAAGTCCTTTCAGATATGTACCGTTGCTATAACTCTTGAAATCTTTAATACGTTGCAGAAAAAGTGTCTTCAATAATAGGTGATACGGTTTTATAGGATATACAAGGAATTCCATCAAAGAAATGCCTGGAAAAGTTAGAAAGTATTAAAATTTTAAAACCTGATTGGTTTTTTTTTAGTAGCAGCTGCTTAGCAATACGAAATACAGAAGCCAGATTTTACTTAGCATGCAGATATGAAGACTCGCAGTGATGATGCATTTTATTAATCTAACCTGTAGTGTGTTGGCAGTTGTTTTGTGGTCTGAATTGAACTTCATGGAAGCTTACATTTTAATAGTTTCTATGAACGATGTACTCTTGCCTGTAGGAGGAGTAAGGTCATGCATTTAATTTTTGCCTTCCTGGTTCTTCCTGCTTTACTCTTCATTTCCTGAGAACTGTGAAGCACATCTTTGTTCTGATTCTTCTTTACTATTTTCATTCAGTAGCTGAGAAGCAAACTCTGGAAATAGGCCTTCTTCATTTATTGGAATTTCACAAATATTATGCAGGGCTTTAGCACTGTGTTTTATTCTGCTTCAGCTGGATCCAGATCTGGTTATTGCCTAACAAGTTAGTAAAAATTCAAATTCAAAATTTTACAGGCCTTAGACTCTTTGTTGTTTGTGTGAAGCCCCAAATTTGCCCTGTGTGTCCAACATTCTTCTTTCTCCTGCAAAGATTAAATTGGAAAGATAACCTTCTACTTCAGGGCAGATAAAGGGATATCTGTTTGATTAGAGACAAGATCAGTCCTCTGTGGAAAACAGAGCAATGACTGTTTGTTTGTTTGTTTACCAGATGAGATTGATTTACTGCTGCTAGAGGAAAGCTAGAGAGAAGTCAGGTAAAGCTAGGCAGGGTGTTCTGAACTGCAGTTCTGTATGTGGATTTCTTATTGCAAGTCTCTTTTCCACTGTCCTTGAGCGCTTGTTGGTTTTGTGGTCTTCATCTTCATCCGGTGCTTATACTTGCATAGAGAGGGACACACAGGACAATACTTTCTTAGGATTTAAAAGTTTCCTCTTGAGGTTCAAAGGCACAACACTGCTGTTGTGATTTACCCTTCTTCATTCTTCTTAAAAACACTTGCTGTAGTAAATTGTGACGTGTTCTTTACAAACTTGAAAAAGCCTGAGCGCGTCAAAGATCTCTTCCAGCCAAACCAGATGCCGAATTAAGAAACTGTACCCAGAGGGGCGAGGTATCGCTTCGGGAACCCTGAGGGCACGTGGAGTGCTCAGCTTCAGGTCTGCAGAGGACAGCACAGGCTGTGCCTCACCCTCTCCCAGCCGTTTCTCCTTCTGACCAACACAGGTCCCCACTGGCTCTATATGCCAACATTAAGTTCATCTGTAGAAGAACCTACTGTGCTTTTTGCAGCTCTTCCTTTTCCTCCCACTCTTCCTTTCCCATGTCCACCCCCTATTCACTCAAAACATCTTCTACTCGGAGAGGTCAGGACCCACTCTAACAGCCATGGAAGCCATGGGATATCCATACCAAGGCCATTGGGAACATCTACGCTTTTCAGATAACTCCATATGTATTTTCACACCATTACTTCTTGCTGGTCTCCTTTTGCATTTGAATTTACTCTGTCCATATCTGGCTCACTGTTCTGCTGGCTGCTAACCTTGTTATTCTGGATGTCAGTCTATTATGCTGTCACTAATTAAAAGGTGTGTTGCAGGCCAAATTATTTAATAAGGCTTTTTATTTATATTTGGGAGGTAATTCTGACGTATGTCATCTTTGTGAATGTTAAACCTGTATTCTTCTGGCTGCTTAAGAAGTTAACTTTGTGATTTCATTCTGTTATGCATACGCTTAATCTGCAAATTCATGTCATCAGCAGTTTTACTTCATCGTAACTTCTACCTCTAGGAAAAAAAGGTAGCGAGAAGCTGAGAGGACAGCGAGGTGCTGCTTGGCTTTTGGAGGTTCTGCTGTGTAGTTTGATTATCTATAAAGTTCTGTAGCAGCAAAAAACATCATAAGCTAAGCAATTCATGACTGCATTCTCAGTGAAATAGGTATTCTATTTACATATTTTTATATAAGCCTTTTAGACCATCTAAAAGGCTTGCATAGGATGCAGCATAAAAAAAGAAGTGTAGTGAATGGCTAGGCAGAAAGTGAATGCTGCTTTTAAGTGTTTCTGCAAAACCTACGTGCTTTATCAAGTCCAGGTCCCTATTAAATGCTGTGTCAAAACATTTGAAAAGTCATTACCTTTACAGCTCTCAACCTCTGGGAAAGTTGTTCTGGAACCTTACTTCTGGCAGCTTAAGTCACACCAATTTCCAATTCTTATAATACTAACCATGGAAAAAAAATATACTCAGTTTGGTTATTGCCCTTTTCCTGGGATTTTCCATTGATGGGGTTACAGGGAATGACCGGATCCTCTTTGAACCTGTTTTCTCGTAATAAATAGTATAAGCACTTCTAACTATGTCACCTGAGAGTCGCTTCATCCTTCTCTGCATCCCGCCTAATCTTTTCTTCCAGACTGAGTTTGTCTTTCTTGATCCTGGTAATTAGAAATGTAGGTAGTTTGGGATTTTTTTCTTAGTTAAATAGGATTTACTAGGAAATGAGGAGGAGTAGTTGGCAGTCTCAAACAGTCAAACCTAAACGTCTGATACCATCATTTCATGTCCCAGTCATCTGTCCTCTATCATCTTGTATGAGGAAAATGAGGAGAAGCAGCCCAGGATAATTATGTCCTTCATAAAGAAGCAGAGATTACCCTTTTTCTAACAAATCTTTTTCTGGAAGATGTGGACAGGGTCTTTTAATTACAGCTGGGATTTCTTTATAGCTACTGTTTCACTTTTGTGTTTGGGGAAGAAATCAGATTTGTGTGTAATTGGCCATTACCATGTGATGACACCACTCTTTGTTCCTTCAACAGAAGATACAGTTCCAAAGAAAGTGGTCTGCCACTTCAACGGAAAAACATACGCAGATGAGGAACGCTGGGACATTGACAGCTGCACACACTGCTACTGCCTGCAAGGCCAGACTCTCTGCTCCACTGTCAGCTGCCCACCCCTCCCTTGTGCCGAACCCATCAACGTGGAGGGAAGCTGCTGTCCCATGTGTCCAGGTAACGTGATGTGGCAGCCCAGATTATTGTAATGCTGCTTTTCCAGGACTGATAAGTTTCTTTATAATGGGTTTTTGAACATCAGTCCATGTTTGAACTGTACCAAGAAGACAACAGATGTTTAGACTTCAAGAAAATGAATAATCTTAACAGGCATATTGTGCAAATATTTAGCTTGAATTTTACTTATTCTGAGAACTGTGAAATCAAGAATTAGTTGCTTGCCCCTGCTCTCTCCTTTCACAAGGTTATAGAAATACATTAGTGAAGTAGGAAAATGAATATTCTCACATCTCTGCAGATTGTCAGTGATAAACATTTCTGTCTTTTCCAAGTCTCTTTGTTACTTTTCAAATATCGCATTGCTTTATTCATCATTTTAACTTGGCTTAAAAGCAATATGAAATTTTCTCAGCTGTGGACACAAGGGCCATAAGAATTGCAGCTGGTTTTTAATGCTACTCCTGTCATAATTCTGCAGGAGTTTACTCACCTTACTCGGTCAGCTGCTGACTACTTCCAGCAGGCCAGCTGGGGGGATTCAGCAGTACCCCTCTTGCAGTTCTCCTGCTCTGAGGATTACAACAAAAAGCAAGGCAAAGAAACCAGCAGTGACAGTTTATACATCAGCTGGGAAGGTGTAGCCTTCCCTCAGTATTTTTGTTGTTTAGTATCACAAAGGAGCAAGAGTGTATTCTGAAATGGTATTTTTAAAAGCAAACTTGTCTGCAGTACTAGATCATTCCGTTCACGCTAGCATAATCATGGCAGCAGGCATCTATCCCGTGTACGGTATGAAATGGGTTTTACAACAAAACCCCAGACTAGTAATGGTGAAAATTCTGAAACAAATAATTCATAGGCCAAAGCACTGAAGATGGCCAAAGTATATTTCCTAAATTAAGAGCAGAGTGGGGAAGTTGAGCAGCCTGTAATTTGTGAAACACATTTATCTAATTTCACAGAGATGTATGTACCTGAACCTACTAACATCCCCATTGAGAAGACAAATCATCGAGGGAACATTGAAATAGAAGTACCAAACTGGCCCACACCAAGTGAAAATGACATCGTCCACATTAACAGGGGTAAGATCTGACATAAACTGGGCTAACTTAGGCTGTGTCTATTGTCCATGTTTTAATGTATCTACTTGTTGTGTTGATAATGCTTTGAAAAAGTGGTTATCTGAGAATGTTCTTCAGTGCAGAACTCTTAGATGCATTTTGCTTTGAGTAAAGATGAGTCTGTCTTTTAAGTTCTTTCTATACAGTTTGGTGTCATTATCATTCCATCTTCAACTTGGAAGACACAGCTGTGTCGGTATGATGGAGTTCTGTAAAATTAAGAATGTGATAAAATGATGAATGAGGAGTGATTCTGCAGTGTCTTTTCTGATAGAAAAACTAGAAAGCAGGCTGATGTCAGGCTACTGGAGTTGACAGGCCTTCATTTGATCCATTTGACATTCCCATATTGATAAACACAAAAGGGAAAACATGTACCACAACTAAACATATATTGTAGACAAATGTCAGAGTTAAAAAAACCACCACGCTTCAGGTATAATGAGACTGAACTAATAAAGTTCTCTGAGGATGTAAATCCATCTTTTGCTTAAAACTCTGCTGAAATCATTATTCCAGGATAGGGGAATCGCAGTGACGCAGTCTTACAGAATCATTGAAGGGTTTGGGT